AGACTGGAGGGTTTGGAATGACATGAGGGTGAGTAATTAATGACAGAATATTTATTTCTGGGTCAACTATCCCTTAAATTAATAAGAGAGAACGGAAAGTGTACCGTTAAGAATTTTGAGCTTTTGAAATGCATTTTCTATGGTTATAGACTATGGTTAAATAATCTAAAATATAGTATATAATTTACAGTAAATACATATAGGGACCCTGCCAATTCCTGACTGTGTGTATATATACACACACACACATTTAATCTTTCATTTTATTTTTACATTTATTTAATATCTTATTTAACCATGACAGTGGTTCATGACAGAAGTAGAAACTGCATTTTTCAAGCTCAAAATTCTTAACAGTACACTTGTAAAATAAAGTTAAAGAAAAAAGCCCTAATGCCATATGGAGGGTCTTAAGTCAACTCCCCTACCTTTTGTTTCTCAAGTGTGTCACACCTCTCGGAAACCACACAATACTTGTTTTTCAGGTCTTCGGTCTCCTTTGAGAGAGCCTGAAACTGTTTCTCTCTCTGTTCGGCCTCCTGTTGCTTCTCCTCGAGCTGGTTCTGCAGTGAAGACACCACGTCCCCGTGAGCGGAGCGGAGCTGCTGTCTGAGGACACACACCTCCTGATCCTTCACCAGCAGCTGCTGAGAGTTCCTCTCCCTCTGAGTCTCCAGGGACAGAATCCTCTGAGGCACAAAAGAGATCATATGTTCAGGATGATAATCGTTCACTTCATAACGAGGAAATGTAGAGAATATTACATCTATCTACATAAACACATCTCTATATATATTTATAAACATTTACAGAATGACACAGACATCTTGATTTTTATTTGTTGACATTTTAAACAAAGCTCCGTCAGATTTCAGGTAGAAAGCAGGCATGAGTTCACCTCCAGGAGTTTGGCTTTGTCCGAGTCTGGATGTGTGTGTTGATGTCTTCCAGCTCTCTTCATCATGTCCTCCAGACTTTTCTTCAGCTGCTGATTCTCTCTCTTCAGTTTCTCGATCTCCATGTCCACTGACTTCGAGCTGTTGCTTTTAAAGCCCAGTTTATTCACGAGAGTCTCCTTTGCCCCCTTCGCTGCCATGTCTGGAGTGATGTCTCAGCTTTTTCATGTGTAAAACGAACCATAACAAAATCGAAATGAATAGGACCCGTGAACCTCCAAAGTAAAAGCACAGTAAATAGCGAATAGCGAAAGTTCTGCTTGATTTAAGACTGAGGGTTATACAAAATATTCTGAATAAAACAAATAAAGTATTTACTTACGCACAAGAATGAATGCTTAGGTGTAGCAGTAGAGCAACATCAATCTGTGAGGAAACGGTTCTGTTTCACTTCCGTGATATTGAAAACAAGTTCAAATAGTGCGCGTCCTGCGTCATATCCGGAACGCAGTCGTCGGGTGAAGACAGATGGCGCTGATTCTGTAACGTATGTTGTGAACAAATATCTTGCAGTTTTATCTTCAGTCCACAGATAGGCTAACGTTATTGATACCTGTTTAATGTCTGTAAAATGCAGTATTACAATAAAAACCATCTGTAATGTAATCCGTTGTCTAAAATATTTATATGCAACTAAATAAGGCACAAAATGTAAACAACAACAACAACAAAAATAACAATAATACATTTCCATTTCGTTTACACTACCGTTATTAAAGTTTGGAGTCAGTTTTTGAACGAAGTCTCTAATGCTCACCAAGGCGGCAATTATTTTTATCAATATACAGTAATTACACATAAAATAACTTTTCTCATTTAAAATATTTTAAATGTAATTTCTAACTGTGATGGCAAAGCTGAATTTTTGCTGCTATTTTTTATAAAAACTGTGATATTTTTTTATAGTCACGTTTGATCTTGCTGAATAAAGGTATTATTTAATATAAGTATGAATTAAAATAAATTCAATGACCCCAAACTTTTGAATGGTTTGCTTATAAGTTATTTATTCTCACTAATTTGAATGCACATGGGTCATTCAAATGACAATATAACGGTGATCTTACTCTGTGAAAATGCTATGACTTGCTGAAAATGTGTAAATAAATAATTAAACAAAAAGTAATTTAGGTGGGTCTATTTTGATACGCTTCTATTTAAAATCGTTGCTTTTGATACTCATCTCTGATAGATAGGCTATGCCAGTTAGTTTCAAAAACAGATGTGTCAGTAAATCTGGTGATGCTGGCAAACGAGGACATGTTTTAAAGTTAGTTTCTTTCCTGTTGGTTGGTTCTGGCAAGGTCAGTGTTGCTGTGCGGGGGATGATGTTTGGGTTTTAGTGCTGCATCTGCACTCAACTGCAATAATCTGTACTAATGACACAGCAGGCTGATGCAGCTGTTTATCACTCACTCAAACACACACACACACACACACACACACACACACACACACACACCTCGCCCTCCAGAAGTACAACATGGGCCTCATATATCTGGGCTCTGGGTATATCTGGGATTTGGGTGTTGAAAGACTTTTTTGATTTTCATTATCAGAAATCCTCCACACTCTTGCAGCAGTATTCATTTGTGAATTCAGTGCTTAATGCGAAATCCATCCTCGAAATCCAGCTAACCCAGGATTCTGCCAGAGAGGAGGGAAAAGGCTTGAAGAAAGCTTTTCTCCCCCCACGAGTCTGCCAGGATTTCCACTGTAATAAATACTGAATGACGGGAGTCCACAGAGCGTTCAGCAGGAGTGCAGCTGTGATCTCGGGATCTCAGGATGAAATGAAGCTGTCGTTCACACACTGATCTCATTCCTTCGCTCGGTGATGATCCTCCAGTTCAGTGTAAACATCATTCAAGCGGCGTTAGATGTTTACAGCAGATTTAAAGGCTAGAATGTGGTTCCTCATTAAATATCTATTCCCTCCTGGCTGCCTAGTACTCTTCCTCCCTCGAGACTTTCTCATTCCACCCCTTCAGTGTTCGCTTCACTGGATAATGGCAGCCATCTTTTATTTCTCACTCACTCTCTTATTCTGACCTTGTTTGTTCTTTTATTCTACGTTTTTTTATTCTATCTCTATCTATCTATCTATCTATCTATCTATCTATCTATCTATCTATCTATCTATCTATCTATCTATCTATCTATCTATCTATCTATCTATCTATCTATCTATCTATCTATCTATCTATCTATCTCTGTCTGTCTGTTGTTTGTTCGTATTTCAAACATAGCATTTCTTAGCAAAATATGTGAAAAATGTGTAAATAAAAGAGCCCTCTCCCATCTCTATGACCAAGTAACGGCAGTACGGCACACAAATGAATCGAAAAACCTATATATAACTCCATTTTCACACTGTTTTCTCCATGCTGTCTTCAATATGTCCAGTCTAATTCTCATGTCTCACACACCTGAAGAGAGGCAGACGGTTTCCCTGGCAACGGAAGATTCAAACTCACTTAGTCCCTCTTACTATTGAGGACAAAAAAAACCCCAAAACAATCCAGTAGTCAGACAACGGCAAGAATTCACATCTGTTTCACATCTTTCAGTCCTTTATTCTGTTTCCCAAAGGAGGATACATAGAGGGATATAGTGCTGCTTACAAGACTATCAAAATATTTGAGAAAGAAAGGGAGCATGCAAAAATAAGTGCACAACGTTTAAGCTAAATATTTCATACATTTCAGCTCTTTATCCTTTTATAGGGCAGACTCAAACAAGACTGTAATCCCATGTGCCAAAAGGTTATTAGGAAAAAGAAAAGCTGTATTAAAAATAAATATAAAAAAAGATAGAAAGACATGGATTTAACCTACAGGACCTACCTTAAATATAATTATTCACACATCACACATTTTATAGTATAGCATATGCAATACCATTGAATCTAAACAGAAGTAAAATTCACAAGCTACATCCATTCACAACCAGAAAATGATGATATTGCCCACCATTGTTACAAATCCAACGTCCCACTTGTCAAAATCTCATCATCTTACATTACTTTTTATATACAACTCAAAACCTACAGTAGTTTACGCTTCCAGAACCCCACAAGCTTGTATTACCAGCCAAATGTCCCATTTGGATCTACAGGAAAGTTCATTAACACAACGCTTATATTGCAAGATTCGGTTGTGATTCGGCTACATTTAGCTACAGATATTTCAAATTACACAGTGTTTGTAAATCACCCAACAACACAGTTCAATACAAAGGTTTGCAGCAGATACAGTGTGTTTTCATAAAGAAACACTTTTACCATGTGATGAAAATCGTTCTTGCCTGCGAGTGCTTGCATATTGCTTTATCAAAAGGGGTGAGGATGTTGCAAATTCTAATTTGGGATTTTCCAAAACATTATTAGCTACATTTTGTCTATGCATGACTAAACACAAGTCATGGCCAAGAACAGTCAAAAGTTTCTATGTCAAATGACAAACAACAGACAAAGAAAAAATTGGATTGTCATTTTGATAAAGTGAAAATATTAAACAATAATGAAATAAAGTGTTTCATGATTTAAAACTCCGAATGTATGTCAGAAAATAAATCAAACATTTTTCCTTACTTTTTTAAAAGTCCTGATTTACAGTATAAAATGACATTGTTACTAAGATATCTCTCCTCTTTACTCACAGGTGATCTTCTCATCAACGGTTCTCTGAGGTTTTGAAAACAGAACAAATGTTGCCAACATAGTGAATCAAGTGTGTCTCTGATATAATGATTATATAGTGACTCCAGTTATACGTGAGCTTTCTCACGAGCGAGGACGTCCACAGTGAAATCTTCAGACATTCTCATTGGATACTGGAAGGGAATAATCAGACAAACCCACGTCTGTATATTGATTTGGCTTATTTTCTGCTTCTGGAGAAGGAAAATACTTTTGCTTTACCAGCAATTCTCCTGTACAACAGCGTGTGAGTAGTCTTTACAGAATGTGAGCCATATTGTTTCATGTTTAGGTGTGAGAGCTGTTACCCATGAAGAGCACCATACACCTCTGAGTAAGTGCCAAGGAACTAATCTCAGTTCCGTGTGAGACCTCAGTGAAAGCGTCCTGCTCCATCTGTTTGAAGGATGGCATGTTTGTGCAGATTAATTCAAGGGTTCTTTCAGAAAACAAAGACATCTGATGATCGATTGCTCTCTGAGATGTGATTGCCGTCACAGCAGCGGCCGGTGGGGCAAAACAAAAGGGCCGTGGCGTCCGGGTCAGTGGTCCGATGCGAAGCTGAATTCCATGGCACGCTCAACGCTCTCAGGATTTTATATTGACTGAAAATCACAGATAAATCATGTTATTAATGTTAATATAAAAAACAACACATAAAAGCACACTACACTAACAGTATGCTACTGTTCAAAAGTTTGTGGTCGGGAAGATCTTTTAATATTTTTGAAAGTCAAAAAATGCAGGAAAAAATGTTGAAATATTATTGCGATTTTAAAATAAGTGTTTTCTATTTGAATATATTTTAAAATGTAATTTATTCCTGTGATCAAAGCTGGATACTTGCTGTCTTCTTTGTAATCCTTACAATCTTTCTGGCCCCAAACTTTATAGTGTTAATGCAGTTTTGCAAAGAAATTCGTGTCATAATTTGGAAACATTAATTCAGTCAAGGGTGTCCAAACTAAATCAGCATCTAACATCAGTATATACAGTATATACACAGTGTATGTATATGTACATATATATATATATATACTGTATATGTGTGTGTGTGTGTGTGTGTGTTTACTAAAAAGTAAAATCAATACTTTAGTAAATATCCAATAACAATAATATTTCAATACTATTCCAATTATAGTTGTTTACTAATCAAAATCATGGTAACAGGGTTGATATTAAACAAATCCTTTGTAATAGATTTTTAAATAAATAAATACATATATACTTTTCGTTGACGTCACTTATCTTATGTAATATGTAACACTCACTTTATATAATCCAATCAATTCTCATTGGATTAAATCCAGTCCTGTCCTATTTTTTAACTGAAAATCCTGTTCACTCTGAAATGCGTCACATATTGCAAGTAAATGGGTTGTGTCGAGTGCCGCTTCATTGACGTTAACAGTGTTTGCAACTGTGACATCTTTACATCTGCCTAATATCATTCATTATTCAAGTGATTACAAATAATCTGTGTTAACGGTAAAGGTCTTCTAATCATCTATAGCTTTGTACAAATTTTCCCAACATTAGAGCAAAAAAGCTAAATGCCCATTGGGAAAAAAGTAGAAGTATTTAAACACTTCAAAGGAACAGAGAGAAGAAAATCTCTAGATACAAAGGATTCTCTGGTTCTTGACCTACTTAGATGGCCTATGAATAGAGTTGGGATTCTGAGATAGAATGCATTAATATCCAGCATTGAAGAGCATATTTCATGTTGAGTGAGTGTGGAGAAAGACCCATGAGGCATGGGCGAAGAGGTTAGAGATCGCTTACTTGACAGATTGACGGCGCATGCTATGATGATGAGCGCTCCTCCCACCAGTGAGACCACAGAGAGCAGCTTCGCCACGCGACCCAAGCGTCTCGCTCCGTCTACGTTCCCCTGCTCCAGACTGTTCCGGGACTAGAACATGACACCGTTCCATTAAAGTCTGACTCATCTCACTTATTGTAACACACAATTAAAAATTCAGTCTGGTATACTGAGGGAAAAATGATCATTTTGCATCTCCATTTGATATTATTACATAGAGAAAAGTGATCATGTAATGAAGCAAATTTACCTATTTGATTAAGTAATTTTTGTAAGATTAGATTTCTATTGGACATAATGTGTTTAAAGGTCAATGTCATTATTAAAATTGAATATATATTAGAATATAACTATTCCTCCAGAAAAGTAACAGGGTTGATGGTAACTGGATTGACATTATAAGTCTTGTGCTCAAGTTTTACAAAATTATATTTCAGTAAATATCCAATACTAATACTTCAATAATACTCCAAGTGTCAGCTGTTTACTATACAAAATCATGGTAACAGGGTTGACTTTAAGATTTCTCCATACTGACAAATGTAACAAAACATTAAATATAATGACTTGATGCCATTACATATTTATTTATGGAATAGTTCAAACTTTAAAATGGAATATTTGATGGTAACAAGGCTGATACACAACTACTTTGTAATAAAACAATAAACTGAAAACTAATACAGTATAAAGACAAAATGCTCGCAGCTCTATATACACTGTATTTTTTATTATTATTAAAATGTGTATATTTACTAATAAACAAGGAGACTTGGCCAAAAAAAGAAAACACAACAAATAAAATAAAACTTTAACCTGGATTTTTTTTCTCTCTATATGTTTGGTGAAATGTTAATATTAACACATTTTGATTTAAAAATGTTTAAAATATGAAAAGAAAAAAAAAAATGAAAAGTTAGCTATTCGTTGTTAAAATGAAGTATACGAGGGACACAAATGGCATCCTGCAGAATGACCCAAAAGGCCCTACACGTTCTACATACCATGATGGAGTAAACAAATCCCACAATGTTGATTGGCCAGACCGGGCAGAAGCAGGCGATGACAGCGAGGATGAGGTAGTCTTTGGGTTTGGAGCGGTCCATCGGGGGGTTGGTGGCGATGCTGGAGTGGCGTGAGATAGAGGGCCGCGGGGAGAACGCCGTGTAGGCGATGGAGCTGGAGCGGCTGCCCATCCGAGTGCGGCCCACATGTGGATGGTGTGAATTAGGAACAGAATGATGCCGGCGAGGAGGAGAGGAGAGAATTGGTTTGGATGCAAAAGCATTGTTCGGGGAACAAATCCCATCACCTGCCAAAAGAAAGAGAGGATGTGAGCGAACAAAAATAATAAAACTGGTAACTTTGTTACTTGATCCTATGATGAGACAAAGGTAGTTTTAAAGGTAACATTATCAATGTTATCTATCCATCTTAGAGAATGCATACACTACCGGTAAGGTAGTTTGGAATAATTACGATTTCTTTATGTTTTTGAAATAAGACCCTTATGCTCACCAAGGCTGCTTTTGTTTGATTAAAATGGCAGTAAAACAGTCATATTGTGAAATATTATTACAATTCAAAATAACTCGTTTCTATTTGAATATAATATAAAATGTCATTTATTCCTCTGATCAAAGCTGAATTTTCAGCATCATTACTCCAGTCTTCAGTGTCACATGATCTTTCAGAAATCACTCTAATATGATGATTTGCTGCGCAAGAAACATTTATTATTATTATCAATGGTGAAAACAGTTGTGCTGCTTCATATTTTGTGGAAACCATGATATACTACTTATTCAACAGTTTAAGTATTGGTAAAACACTTTAATTCAGTAAGGATGCATTAAATTGAACAAAAGTGACAGTGAATGCATTTATAAGATTTCTACTTCAAATAAATGATGTTCTTTTGAACTTTCTATTCATCTAAGAATTATGAAACCAAATCTATCTTGGATTCCATAAAAAATATGAACTAACTGTTAATAATAAAAAGCATTATTAATAGTTATAAAGCACTAATTATAATTGATTATAAAAATCTTAATAGTTCCAAACTTTTAATCGGTAGTGTATAATAGGACAATCATTTTATATAATGTTGTGCACATTCAATATTCAAATAATTACTAAGAGAGACCATCATTTTCTTTTTTTGTAACTGTCTGTCATCATTATTGTTTGTCTCACCATGTTTCCCTCCAAATGTGATGATGTGTGTTATTGCCCAGGATGCCGTGCTCTTGAAACCAACTTTAATTAAATGGCCACCAATGCAATTAATTCACTAATCTCTGTCATGCCTCCTGCCAGGAAGCCCCGTTGGCAGTTTTGATTAGGATGCACAACTTTAATTTAATTAAGAGTATTTACGACACACTCAGCGACTGTAAAAAGAAGGGAAATAAATAATTTGCCATGTCGCTCTTAACCTTAAACGAACTCAGAGCATCACCAGGCCACAGTAAACAACATAACAGTGGAGAAGAGTCGCTGTGCTCGTCCACGGCCAGCTCTCGGCCTCGGTCACTCTGTGTTTAGTCAACAAACAACCAGATTTACAATGCATTATTTACAATGATCGGATTTGCAGTGCAGCAAACTGTTCCTCTAAACCAGTGCTGCATGCTGGGAAGTGTGCTCTGAATGAATCATTTTCACTTTTATTTTTACATTTTTAAAAGCTATTTGCTCATTAAATCTTGAAATGATGCATCATATATTTATTTTGTATAACCAGGATCAGAAATTAACCAGGCTTTAGAGCAAATATGATTCAAAAAACAAAAAGCCCCAGGTTTAAAATGTCCGCCTGTAGTGTAATTGTTCTTTTTGATTGGTTATGTAACATTTATAATATTCTATTCTAGGTCTATCTATTTATGGTATTAGTGCCTCTGTAGTGACCTGTAGCTGTCAGATATCTCTTAGAATTGAGTCTTTGTGAATGTGTTGCTAATTAAGTGGTTTTCGATTTAAAAACGAAACAACTAGTCAGCTCTAAAAACACTGAATGTGAAGAAAACACACCTCAACAACTCCTAGACCTGAAACAGGGACGTGTGTATCTTGAATTGACAGCTACTTTTGTATTTGACATTGATCTGGTTCAGTGTTGTTATTGTTAACTAAGAGTATTTCAAATATTTTTTGTTGATTAAAAAAGAAACAGAAATAAAATATAGTTGAAAATGTAAACTTGAAAAACAATGAGAAATGTTGAAATGTTGCCTTAGCAAAGTTACTACGAGTTACCTACAAAGTTACTATTTACTAAAACTGAAATTTAAAAGTCCCCCTGTAGTCAATCATTTTATCCCTTAAAAGTTTCTTTTTTGATCACCAAAAGGACATAAATGTTTTTTTCCTTAAAGAAAATGTTGTCATGCCTTAAAATAGCTAAGCTTGAATGTAACTCTACACCCTTGTCTCATTTAAAACCAACAAGCATATAACAAAATTAATAAATATTTATAACAGTCTGTTATATTTGTCACAGACATTCAATTTAAGCCCTTGGAATAAACTGAACACATGCCACATGTTTTTATAATGGCTTCTTAGAAAGTATATATATGATTAGAAAACATTATATAAATCCCCCCCCCCCCCCCCCCCCCCCCCCTTTTTAGTCTGTCTTTTTGTACCAGCTGTTTTTGAGCACTGAAAACCCTCAACTCATCTCTGTTGGTTGCCTGTTTAATTACGCCATTTTTAAAGTCATTATGATTGCTGTATGCAAATTACTGTAGTGTGATTGGCATAGCAGGACCTGAAAGTCCCTGATGTGTTCTTCCTGGAGGCAAGGCAGATGCTTTCTTAGCAATTATTCTTATCCCCCCTCCTTCACAAAACCCTTCCAAAATGACATATTATTGATGAAATGATGAATTACCACTCTCTGTTTTATCCTTGACCATAACGATGACCTCACCAGAGCAACGTGCCTCCTCAATGGACTGCTGGGGGAATGTGAGGGGGCGCAGGCATGGGAAGGAGTCCGATCCCGCTCCGGTGGTCCCCGGCTGATATGTAACAGGGCCCGGGGTCTGGCAGCTCATGGCCTCCCCGTCTTGGGTACAAACCAGAGAGCCCAACGACGCCTGATGGTACTCTGTTTCCATAGAGACGACTGAGGTTGCAAAGCTGGCCAGTGTTGTGTTGATGTTCAGATGGTGTGGCTAAAACCGGAGAAAATTGGTGAGAAACAAGATTTATGTTATCTCATTAACATCGGCTGTGAGTGCATGGAATAGCATGATGAGATGCAAACTCACACTCCGGCACATGGTGTCATCAACAGACACACACACACACACACCATCTGACTTCAAATCACATCCTGCAGGACCCAGCATCTGAGTCCTATTTTTCCCACAAAAGAGCCTTGTCTGCTTTGTTAAAATACCGTTTTCATCATCCTCTCAATGTGGTTCGTTCATTAACATGCATGCTTGTTGTTTATCTCATTTTAACCCTTTAACCTAGAAATGTGGGTCATGAAACTGACCCCAATTACGATTATAACATTTTTACAGCAGGATTAATCCACATTCTGTCGAAAGATTTGAACATCCTTAACATATTTATTTAATGATAACAGCAATAATAAGACTGAATATGACTATTAAGCAAAGGATAAATAAATTTCTCACAGAAAATAGCCTACTGGTGTTAGTGAAAATAATCACAGGATGCTCTAAAGAATACGCGCGGAGAACATGAGGGCAAATAAACAAAGCCGTGGGGAAAATATGAGACATATGGAGAGAGAGAGAGAGAGAGAGAGAGAGAGAGAGAGAGAGAGAGAGAGAGAGAGAGAGAGAGAGAGAGAGAGAGAGAGAGAGAGAGAGAGAGAGTATGTAGAAAAACAAGAATGTTAATATAATTTAGTCCATGGTCCATACGCTATAATGACGAATAAATAACGACGGACAGTGTTAAACATTAGAAAGTCCTCATAGGACAACATTCTTTGTCCTCATCCATCCGATAACACAGGTGCCTATCCAGGTTGGGGAAACCCTTTGTTTTTTGTGTGCCCTTCAGAAAATGAAAAAGCATTCAAACGTTAATTTGGACACATAACTAACACATTTAGTATAAATAACACCTACCTTAGAGCGCGCGATTCAAGCCAATGTACGATTGGACTCGCACGTACGCATTTGCATAAACACTCGCGAGCGCGATTCTAAAGACGATTCGATATTCCAGCGTGGCATTTAATCGTCGAACTGCGCGTGAAAAGAAACCAGCGCGTGACGGTGTTGTCGATCTATCAGAGCGCGTGTTGTCTCGGGATCCTCTCAGGTCTGCAGGCTCACACACACTGGACGGAAGACGGCGTGAAATGAGTAAACTACACGAACTGTGCGCACTGGAAACCCCTGTGATGAAAAACGCTAGTGGATGAAAAACACTAGTGGATGAGTGACACATTGTGGCAGATTATAGGCTTTAGTTTTCTAATCATAGGTTATATTAGAGTGCCTTTGCTACACGCTGCAATTAACAAGCATTTCTACAAAATAAGTCGGCTTTGCAGTTCATGTATTACTCAGTAAAACAAAGAATCATGAACATTACAACGTGAGCTTATTTGACCCCCAAAAGAAAAACACTGTAAAAGAAAAAATGTGATAGCACTTCATGTATAAAGGTGTTCTATGATGCATTATAAAATTATAAGCAATGCATTTTCATAAATAAACGCAACCAAAGTTAAAAAGCATTAGCCTTTATTTGCAGATTCCTTGTTACATCTAAAATTGGTTGTATAATTTCAATGAATAGGTTAGACACGTTTTATGTATCAAAACTGTGGTTACAATTATTTATGAGACCATACAATACATTATAAGGTGCATTAAGGGATAATTAATGCATTCAAATAATTATGCAGGTCTTAAGTGGTGTTACAAAAGAAATCACTTTTGGTATCAAAAGTATATTTTACAATACATTTAAATATACTGCCTTGTTAAATATATTTAACAATATACTTAACTGTAATGTGAAATACTGTTAAAATTGTTCTTTTGTAACTGAAAAATACATTTTTTTGTACTTTTTTTAAATGACTAATTTACAGTGGAAACCAGTAAAAACTCCTCGAGTTGAACTGAAACTGCAAAAATACAATACTATATGTTCTCCCCATATTTAACTGTACTTGTTTAATTTCTTACAATATGTAAATGCATAGTAATATGTATTTTAATACTTTTAAAAAAAATCAATATTTTTTAAATACAATAAGTTATTCCCAAGTTAAACAATTTTCATATTTGTAACTACTGTGAAATACAGTAAAAATGGTTCTTTTAGAACTGAAATATACTAATAACTTTAGTTTATGCAGCTTTAAGTAGTTTGGTATATTAACATTATATTACTTAAAGAAATACATTTACAAACAGTAAAATATACAATCCAGAAACCATCCTGTAATCCCTGAATTGTCGTCACTGTATTTTTACTGTAAATTGTACATTTAGGTTTTTTTTAGTGATCAACATAAGCAGTTCCACAAAATATGAACATTATGCAGTTAACTTGTATAACTCAGTGATTATAAATAATATATGAACATTGCAGTGTGAAAGGTAACCCTAAAAAGTAAAAGCTTCCAAAAATAGATGTGAAAGTTTTACTTGTAATAATTGTCTTTTTGTAAATTCTTTCATTATGTGATTGAAGCAGTCATCGTCTCTGCTTGGTAGGCAATATTATTTTCTTCTTGTAAAAATTATTACATTACAATGAAAACATGAAAGTGAATCTACGCTGTGGTCTTGTCATGCAGTTCTGTGATTGGCCGGTCTGGTCTGTCAAGCTGGTTAAAGGATTGCTCTCTCGAGTAATAAATAAGCAGTGTTGACTGCAGGCAGAGAAGAGCAGACACATACACTCACCAACAGCTGATTTACATTCACTTTCAGTTCAAAATGCAAATACGGAATGACAAGTCAAGGATATTCAGAGCCCTCAAAGAGCATACGGCCATGTAAGCCTTACACTGGATATACACCAAACCAATTTGACAGTCATTTTTTGCAGTTTTATAGGTTTAAGTTCTAAAACAATAAAGTGCCAAAAATAAAGATAATCATACTTCCAGAGCTCCTGGAGTCTCTATCCTGCAGTTTAGCCTGAGAACACCATTTCATTTTTTATTTTTGTAAATAAAGCTTTACTTTAGCTTTTACTGAAATAACAGTTTTGAATAATGAACTCCTGCATAAAGGCCTTTGTACTGTCGCCATTTCAGAATTGTAAGATTATAAACCCTGCATTGATTCAGTCTTCCACATATTCTTTGGTTTACATAACTAAATTAATTTAAATCATCAACACTGGACACGTAAAACTAAACTGCACCGTATCAATATGTTTGGAAGCGCTTTTTGTAAACCTGTGACAGATTCCCCAGTAAGTGTTCAGATGTTCGGCTAGTCATTTTCACAAAATAATGACATTTCAATGGATGTATAATACTTGTTATTAAACGCCAAAACTCTTTGTTGTTGCATTGACAATATTTTGTAACATTTTGGACAGATTGCCCCAACCACCCGTATGCAAAAACTCCTTGGCACACAGGCTAAATAACAGTTTATCCTCAACCTATAATTTTGGTGAGTAATTGAGCCTTCGCAAAGCCTATCAACTTTCCAATCTAGTTTGTCAGACAAAAGGGTTATCAAAACTAAAAACATTTTACGTCTTTTGGAAGTTGCATTCAAAATCCATTTGGATCAAAAATAGTCTGAGTTTGAATGGGCATGACGCCTCTGCAGACAGTCAGATTTGCTAATGTGTGTATACTGGCTAATCTCACACTGATCTTAAAACTATAGCTCTGTTAAAGGATGTTTTTGAGAATACCAATAATGCAGTGGTTCACAAAATCAATCATTTCAGGTAATACAGACATTTGGTCAAGTGAAATAAAACTCGCTGAGCTTCTTTGATGGTGGCATTTATTTAGTGCCAAATGATAAATGAAGCAAGTTCATTTAAAAAAAAAAGAAAAAGTTAAATACTAAAGGGAAAATGGGCATAGTATACAGGAATCAGAAAACATGGAAAATAGCAGTCAAGTATACACAAACGTAAAAAAAAAAAAAAAAAAAAAAAAAAAAAAAAAAAAAAAAAAAAAAAACCTGTACACTAAATATTACACATAAAATGGGTGTAAAAACATCTTAAAACACTCTCATAAGCACAAGCGCTCCTCTTCAGGCATCGTGGCTCAAAGGCTTCACTTTCCCATATTGCTGAGAATATTCGCCTGTGGAGGGAAAGTAGTGAGTGTGTGACTCAAAGTAAATTCCCTAAATCACATTAAATTGTGCTTCCCTCCAGACATTAAAAATCCATATTAGGGCTGGGTTGAAAACATCCATTTCTCAATTTGAATCGATTCTCATTTGGATGAACAGATATTGATTCTTAAATCCCAAGAATCTTTTAGTTTGTGCCGTTTTCAGTTGATACATGCACAAAACTCACTAAACATTACTTGTAGTGCGCCTCCAATCCAATAATTGCAATAATCTTTGCGCTTTTTTAACTTTTAATATGAAACGGGTCTCAGTTTTCCAACGGTGGCAATTTTATTACGAAATTCAATCAATAAATACCATTTTGATGCCATCTAATTTGGCGTGACAGAGCGCAGGTGAAACGATCTTCATTAGTTACAGCATGAAATAAACGCTAATGAACATCAGAAGGTATGTTGAAAGAAACCGTACAAGTTAATGAAATGTATCATGTCTCATGTAATCGCTTAGTGTTTCAACTTTAAAAATACGTCAAAACCACTTGTAAACAATGTAACGTTAACCTCAAAAGCCTTTCATGAACATTCAGCTAGAAAAATTAAATATTTGCATCATATTACATATTCTACTTTTACTTAACCTGTCATTTAAATAGCTGTATGTTTGAATAGAACTGTCATGAAAACAAGTTTGGAAACAGACAGCTTTTAAATGTTTATAGTGCAAAACAAATTGGAGCAGAAACAGTCATTAAAAACATTTGTGTATACAAATAAATCAGTTATTAATTTTAAACTTGAATATTATAACGTACCAACTGACAGGGTTCCCTGTTCCCAGGGTTAACTGAATCAGAAGCTTGTGAATCAAAATCAAATTGAATTGTTAAATTTGCAACAATGCCCAACCCTTATCCATAGTAGACATTACTGCTGCAAACCAAATACCTTTATGAAAGAAGAGAAACGTTTAGCTGTAACGCCTTCGATTTTCTTCAGGTCTTCCACCTACAAACAAGGGGGAAAAAACCTAAATATTAAATGTGTCTCTATTAGGGGTGTAACGGTACACAAAAATCACGGTTCGGTACGTACCTCGGTTTTAAAGTCACGGTTCGGTACGTTTTCGATACAGCAAAAAGTAAGAAATGCCAGAGAAATTTACTATTTGTTAAAAGAAAAAATATATTTTAAATAAGTTGAGTTTTCCTACATCTTGAAACTTTCAGGTTTATAAATGGGTGTCATCTTTGAAGGATGAACAAATAATGTTTTGGTCATCACATTAAAAATAACATTTAAATATATGAAGAGTTAGATGCAAAAGCCATTTGAAATTCTTTATTTTTATCAAGCTTGAATATTTAAGTTCAGTAATTTCACTTAAATGGCAATGAAGATTACCTATTAATTGTCATTTGAGTGAAATTACTGAACTTAAATATTCAAGCTTCATAAAAATGATCATTCTAGAAGAAAATTTCAATTGGCACTTAGAGGCTTTTGCATCTGAACTCTTCAAATATTTATTTATATAATATTTGAGTTTTGAAGTGCTGGAAAAAGATGTGAAGTACTTGAAAGCATTTCACTATTCCAGCCAAACTGATTACAGTTATGGTGAATGTTGCTGGTCTGTGGATGTAAAGTATTACTAGTTCATTCACAGCACAATATTTCTCCTGGTGTCCACGTCAGCGCTGTTTGATCTAATAGAGATCTACGGTTAATAACGGAGAAATGTGAATGCTTCTCACTAGATCTCGCAGCGATGTTATTACTTCAGTGGCGAATTCAAATGTTTTCTTTACTGGATCTCTTAGCGCTGTGTAGTGACAGTGTCGCTTGATCGAGATCGGCTCGCGCTGCACAGATGTTGCTGGTCCGAACTCCGAACTGATAAACGATCCGTGAAGCACATAATGAGTAGCGCAGTTTCGTTCCGCTTTCTTTACGCTTGCCATTTGATGTTGCGCAACGTTGTGGTGGTCGAGCCAGCGCGGATTTTGTCGGCAGTAAAAAATGGTTCAAAGGAATCGTTCGGTTTGTATGCGTACCGAACCGGAAGCCTCGAACCGAAACGGTTCAATACGAATACATG